AAACAAACAAACAAACAAAACAATTGTTTTGTTTGTTTGTTTGTTTTTTGAACATCCAGAGGACCTGACTTCACTTCTTTAGATGTTTACCTGGATTATTGAGCAGCATCAGGAGATTAAATCTGTGATTATTTTGTCTGGGTTTAAACTCCGAGCGTTGGGGCTCGGCGGTTCAACGCTCAAACACTGAGCCCTGCAGCTCAGTGGTTCAGCGTTAAAAATCTGAGCATTGTGTCTTATGTGTCGGTGTTTAAACTCCGAGTGCCATGGCTCGGTGGCTCAGCGTTTAACCCTGAGCCCTGCGGCTCGTTGTGGCGGCAGCTGACCTCTCTGAAGGTTCCCTTGGCCCTGAAGAGCTTGTAGAGGACGCTGACGGGGATGCAGAGCATGGAGGACAGCGCCAGGCACCAGCCGATGACCTCGCCCCACCACGGGTACACGTACACGTTGTTGTAGGTCAGCGGCTTGTAGTGGACCAGGTGGAACAGGAAGATGCCCTGAGACGACAGCGGTCTTACACTCTAAACATGACGTCATGTGCTGAAAGTGGCGGCGCGCGGTCTTACGATGCAGACGCACGGCGTGATGAAGGACCAGCACCACTTCATCCAGGGGAACGGCCGGTAACCGATCATACGGGCGATGTCATCCATGAAGCGGTCCGCACCTGCAGAACAAACAGATGGTCCTCAACTGAAGGCGCTGGAGCATCCTGAGGTCCTAGACTGCTGGTCCAGGATGTCTCTAAAAAACAAACTGACGGTGCAGAGCTGAACTCACAGGCAGATCCTCCACTACCCTCCCTCCTGAGGCTCCCTGCACTAGCATCTGGTCCTGTTGGAGACCAGTTTGGAGCTGAGGACCCCCAAGAATGACTCCTGTCTGAGGCTCGGTGTTAAACCTGTCCAGGAATCTGCTCTGACAGAAGACCCCCAACCCGGGTCTGAGGACCAGACGGGGTCCAAACCTGCCAATCATTAGACCTGGATTTGAAGACCATGTGGGTCCAAACCTACCGGTGTCATGTTTTCTACCTCGTCATGCTCTGCTCCCAAGGTCTGTCACTCTGCCACGCCCACTCTGCACTTCAGCCACGCCCACTCTGCACTTCAGCCACGCCCACTCTGCACTTCAGCTCAGTCAGACTCATGTCTTGCGCCTGTTCCCCGCTCTACTTAAGAGCTCGTCACCCGAGCTCCCCAGCAGATGATCGAACTCTTTGCGGACGTAGATGTTCAGCGTTCTTGTCACAGCTCTATCTGATCATCTTGTCTTGACCTCATGCGTCTCTTCTGGAAACCCGACCTCAGTGCTCCTTGCCTGTTATTGTATCGCCCTTGCGACCACGTTACTGACCTCCTCTTCTGACCCAACAGCTACGACTCATGGATCACCCTTTTGGATTAGCTCTTGGATCTCTGACACCCTGTGTATGACCCACCTCCACACCTGGTTCTAACCTCTGGATTTCCCTTTGGATCACATCAGTCTCAGTCCTGTTCTTCTGTTGCGTTTCACCCAGTGACAGTGATGTCATCCTGCCCGGCTCCTACAGGTGGCACCCACCTCACCTGCAAGAGAAGGTTAGTGGCTGTCCTTCTGTTTGCCTCCTTCCTCACAGAAACGTTCAGCCCACTAACTTTTCATATCTCTGCAGATTTGGCCTGTTATGGAACTCTGACCTCCACCAGCAACTGTTTTACAATAAACCTTTAAAACGTTCTTGTTGTCTGGGGTCTAGCTCAAATCCAAATACCCAAACCTTGTCAGCCGGTCTTTGTTCATAAAGTCTAAATGAGGGTTCGGCTGCTGATGTGGGTACGAAACGGTGTGGAGCAGAACCCGAAACCTCCGGCAGTTAATGTTGGACGTATCTGTCCACAGCTTCCTGTCCAGAATATGGATGTTCTGAAGTCTCCGTGCAGAAGTTCTGTTTCCAAGGAGCCAGAACTTTTCACACGGACACATGAAAAATACCAGAGGCTGACAGAAAACTGTGAGGTCCAACAGAACCGGAGCTGAAACTGGCCCAACTCCGGAGCTGCGAGTCAGCCAAAGGTACAAAGAACTGGAAATACATGGATAGAAATGATAGAAATTACATAAAAAATTATATAAAATATATTAAAAAATATATAAAATGTATTAAAAATTATACATTATATATAAAAATACAGGAAAACTGGACTGAAGACGTGTCAGTTTGTTAAAAACAGAAAATCAGTTTATGCAGGTCCAATCCAGAGACCTGAACCTGGACCTTAGGCCGGTTCTGTAGCTGGAGCTGGCTCCAACAGTTCTGCTGTTGGTTCTGATCCAACCAGCTGGTGGTATAAATGTGACGTTAACGTTCATATTTCACACTCTTTCTGAGACTTCACATGTTCCAGAACCCCCCGCTCCCAGATCCAGGCTACCGCCCCCTCGTACCATAGACCCAGAGTCCCCCACCCAGGTGGTACCATAGAGCAAGCCCCCACACCCATTGTACCGTAGAGCCAGACACCCCCCCCCCCCCCACACCGTGGCCCCCGCCCCCCCCCCCCAGTCGTACCGTAGACCCAGGCCACCACGATGCACTCCCAGAAGGACTGCCACAGCAGCGTCATGCCACTGGCGGAGTAGTAGTCGAACAGCTGGAAGACGAACATCCCGCCCTGCACGGAGAAGCAGACCCTGAGTGGACTTTGGTTCCGGTCGGTCCGCCTCGGATGACCTCGAGAACGTTTCTGACCTGCGTCACCATGGAGATGTCGATGATGAAGCACAGCAAGCAGCAGATCGCCACAGAGATCTCACGCTTGTAGCGATGGTAGGGTTTCCCAGGAAACAGGTCCAGGATGCCGGTCACAAAGCCCTCCACCCCGACAAACTGCAGGGACACACACATGATCAGAACCACAGCGCTGGGACGTCCGAGCCTCCCTGAACGCACCATTGTTCTCATCTTCATCAGCACACGATGAAGGACTTCAGTTGACCAGTGAAACTGCCGAATGTTAAAGTATGAAGTGAACACGGTTCAGTAAAGGCTGAAGGTGGTGCTAGGTGGTGCTAGGTGGTGTTGTGTTCTGCTGAACTGAAATGAACTTGAATTGTTATTACATAGAAAGACACTAGAGGGAGGTCTAAGACCGTGCGTTTAAAAGATGCTGTAGCATCTGAAGCTGGTCCACGTGTCTGCTTAGTTTCATTTAATTCAGTCTTGCAAGCCACAACAGGCGAGTGATCATGTAACCGCCTGAGTGTTTTAACTCCAAAACAGATCAAAGTCAAGTCAACTTTATTTATAAAGAACATTTCAAACAGAAGCAGTGACAAAGTGCTGAACAATAACGTCACTGAGAACAAATGAATGGTCACAATAAAGCTAAAGATAATTCTGATGCAGAGGATCAAAGGATGGCCCGTATCATCAGGCCAGGACTCTGAGGTCTCCTCTGCAGGTCAGAGGTCACTCGTTCAGGGATGAAGATGTTCACATCCTGGACAGAGAGGAACGATGGTTTGAGAGAGGAGTAAAGGAGGCCATCTTTGTGAAGAGAAACCGTCCATCAGACGAAACGTTTCAACAAAGAGTCCGTCCAGATGACCTGAATTAACCTGCTGACATTTTTCTACCTGGATTACTGAGCAGCTTCAGGACATCTAAAACACTTCATTTATGAAAGTACCTCAGTACTTAGTTACAGTTACTCTGTACATGGTTACAGTTACTCAGGTCACCTGACTATCCAGTCCAAGCAGCAGCAGCATGAAGAAGAAGAGCGCCGCCCAGAGAGGAGCCACCGGCATCAGACTGACTGCCTTTGGGTATGCAATGAAGGCCAGACCTGGACCTGAAACACAATCGGGACCAGGGTTAGGTTCTGAAACACAACCAGGACCAACGTTGTGTTCTGTTTGTTGGTAAATCTGCAGGTTTCGGTCACACTTGGTTTGGTCCAGTTTTTTGTTCAGTCCGGTGTTTGGTCCGGTCCAGTCTATGGTTTGGTCCAGTCCAGTGTTTGGTCCAGTCCAGTGTTTGGTCCAGTCTTTGGTCCGGTCAAGTCTTTGGTCCAGTCCAGTCTATGGTCTGGTCCGGTCCAGTTAATTGTTCGGTCCAATGTTTAGTCCAGTCTTTGGTCCGGTCCAGTCTTTGGTCCGCTCCGGTCCAGTGTTTGGTCCAGTATTTGGTCCGGTCCAGTCTATGGTCTGGTCCAATCCAGTGTTTGGTCCAGGGTTTGGTCCAGTCCAGTTTATGGTTTAGTCCGTTCCAGTGTTTCAGTCTCACCTGACTCTGCCACCTGGGAGATGTCCACTCCCTGCTCGGCGGCCATGAAGCCCAGGATGGAGAAGACCACGAAGCCCGCGAAGAAACTGGTCCCACTGTTGATGATGGCCAGGACGAAGGCGTCCCTGCAGGAGACAGGAACCATCAGAACCTGGACCACAGCAAAACCCGGTCCACAGCAGAACCCGAGATCCTCAGGTCCGTTCACATCAGCACTTCAGGCTGTGAGAGGTCACAGCAGAACGTCTAACAAAAAGAGCTGGGATTCATTCAAAACATGATGA